GTACAAATTAATTGTGGACATGGATTACAAGCGCAATGTGGGCAACCCGTCTTTTCGTCGACTGCATAACTGTACGGGCAATGTTTATCACAACGTAATTCATCACACTTTCTATCCGGTGGTGAAGAACATAGACAATATTGTTTGGATAATTTTTCAAATTTTAATGTACAGTACGGTGCCGGACAGGACATAGTCGAACATGCACATTGAGAGCAACCATGCTCATCTTTCGTTAAGCCATGTTCACAGACTAACAAGCAATTGTCCAGTTTTGGACATTTATGTATTGATGTAGTAACAGCTGAGTTGACCTCTTCTGAATTCTTGTGTTCATCGATGTCACATACGGGACAGCAAACGTTAGCAATTTGACGAGGATTTTCACATGGAGGAGCAATACAACCTTCAGCAATACAACGTGACCGACCATTTTCACATGAACATCGCATACATCCATCCGATTCAATCCAGGTTGAGTTCATGTGTTGAACATGGAAACGATCATTTAAACAACCTATGAATTACAAAATAGAGACTATCTTCTTGGAAAAGAAACATACCTCCGCATTTTGGACAACATTCATTTTCTGGTTTATACATGTAACCGCAATGTGTATAAGTCGGACATTGTACCATGGAACAATCGGCTCGTCCAGCACGACAAGTGCATGTGGTACAATGATCAATCGACCATGTCTCGTTTTCATGGTAGATTTTCTTTCCATGCTGGCATTGCTCCGCATCTTGATGAGAGATAAAAAATAAATGAAATTATGGATTAATTATGGTCTATATATTCCCTATTCTCACCTACTCTTAATACAATTGAATTGATCACAGCATTGCCCAGGTAGATCTGGATTGCCTGTTCGATAGATTTGGATAATCGAGTTTTCGCCACAGATGGTTTTCGGACATGATGAACAAGCACATTGACCTCGAGGTTCACAGCAAATCGATGGAAAAGCTCGCGAAAGAGTATATGCTGTTCGTCGAGGAGGAGTTAAATCTTCCACAAAATGACTGTCCAACGGACATATTGATGAATTTACTGGTGCACTCTTGCAAATTATATTCGAACAATCAATAATATCTTTAGCTAAACAAAACGAATTATTCAATCAAAATCATCTCGTCTTTTATTAATATGAATACAAAATCCCAGATGTCAAACTGTCTTTTGGATCATTAGCTTAAGAGGCCTGAAAGAATTCTTCTGGAATAATCCATTCGTGACCTACATTTATTAATCGGTCGGCATGTCTCATTTTCTCGGGTAATTCTGTACCCAGATCTGTTTGCTTTGAGACACCCTATATGTTATTCTAACTGATAGATGTATTTTCTAGTCAACTATCTATTTGGATCAGATGATTTAACATTCCTAATGAATAATAACATCAGTCTTAGTTAACCAAACAAATAGAAATATCGAATTATCTAACCATCCTAGCTTATATCTCTGAAAATAAAGATCTCATCCTCACCATTACTGGCTTTCAAAGCAGTTGCACTGTAATCCTTGTGAATGATCGAATGATTTTTACAATTATCCTTTGTATCGTAGGGAAGAGCTTTATCACAGGGTACACGCCGATTGATGCATTCACATGTGTTCTTCTTATCCTTCGTAACGGATAAACATTGAAATTTTAAACATGCTAAAAACAATAAAAATTCACATGGTCTTTGTTTTTCCTACAGGGGCTCTCACCTTTGACACAAATTCCTGTTTGTTCATAGGCAGAGTGTGCTGTTGTCGTTTTATTTGCTTTATAGCACAATAAACCTTCTTCACATATACCATAAACATTAAATCGACCTCCACATCTTTCGTTTTCTTTTCGAAGACAAACAGTACAACAATCACATTGATCACGTATTAATTTTGTACAATTCTTATTCAATAATGCATAGTCATAACAATAATTGGCGATACAGGCTTCATGACATTCGATCTGATAACCAGATAATGAAGTTGATTGAACAGGTACAACAATTAATCTCAATTCCTTCTCATCGTTGTCAGTAGAGTTTGCAGTCGTGAAAGCACCGAAGAAGATCGTCGAAAATAAATGAAGAATGAGCAGACAACGCCCGATGAGCATTACTGCTCGACTGGTAAACACATAGCCTTTTTCAGACTAACAAAACGGATGTTGATGGACGACGTAGTTGTCGAGACCACCTAAGCATTCCAATCAGATTCGGCCTAGAATAAATAAAGAACTGTTTTTCAATACCTCATACAAACATTTTAATCAAAAATAACAACTTTACTCTTTCATATTTATTCACTTTCAAGAAGATTCGATAGCGTTAGAAAAAAAATATTTTCTTTTTTCGAGAATAGGCACGTAAATAGATGGTGACGACAGCGATTTTGCTTCTCTCTTATTTCAAGATACGCAACTTAATACGAATCGCTCTGATATTACTGTGGAAATTAGTTTTTCTCAGCACAAGAGAAAAAACCTGCATCTGAAGGGTATTTATTGTATTCCAGAGAAGTCATAAATAGTTATTCATCAACGTAGGATTTTTATCGAATGAATCAAAGAAAAAGAAAGAACGAGAGAGATGGTTGGTATGTTAGAAGAAGTATTTCATTACTAACTTTGTTTTTTTTTTTCAAAGAAAAAACGAAAAGAGAATGTGTATATATATATTAACATTTTTCTATTTGTCTGTTGACTGATCTTTCGTTCTGCGATGTCAGAAGGAAAATGAAAACTAGGATGTCTTCGAATTCGTATAGACAGAAGTACGAGAGAGAGAGAAAAGAAGGTGGGCGATGATCGCATGTACAAATAATTGCCATACCAGACATATCTGTGCTTCTGCTTTTTGCTCTCCGATGTATATATTTCATCTTTGACTAATAACGACAAGAGGCAGTTTTTCATTTGTTATCTCTTGTTTCGGACTCTGCCATGACAGCAACACAGAACTTCGAAGAGGAAATACATCGATAACAATAACAAAAACAACACCTGATTAAGCTTAACAAAATGACTCTCGCTAATTCAATAAATACTACCTTCGAACTTGATAATTAGTTGTAGTATTTATCTAGTATTGATGCTTGTTGCATTGAGATATGCGACGTGTGAAAGGCACGATAATTGTTTTTTTTTATTCTATCGCAATAAAAAGTAAAAATCACCAGCAACAAGCCACGAATGATACTTAGAAAACGAAGAGAAAGAGAAAAGAGCGAACACATGCGCAACTGATTGAGAAAAAAAAAGAAATGCAAACATCATTATTTGCAAAAGATGTGACTGACTGCAACCGAAATAGAATCAATAGTTAAATGAGTCGAGTTTTTCACTGAATTTCAATTTGATAAGAAAAGAAATTGTTCAAATATTTGGTTCCAGTTGACTATAGACTTGATAGGAGATAGATATGTCAGTGAATGTCGGCTTAGTGAGAAGTGAAATACAAAAGGTAAAGATAAGTCTTATTTATTGTGTAATAACAAAAGCAGATGTTTCATTTTCAACATGGCAATGGTAATGTGGAAAGAAAAGTATTTTTTGATTTGCTATTGCGCGCATAATCATTCTCCAGAGACGCGTTCACAACTTAATAGATAATAAAAGAACAAGTTTTTTATTTGTAGCAACAATGATTGCGAGTAATCTTCGAAGTAGACAAAGATTCTCTCACCCATTAGAGCTTGTCGTATACTTTTCTTCCCGTCGACGACTATTTCTGTCATGGAGAGGTTTTATCCTCGGATCAGAAACAGTGCTTTTGGGAAGATTCGAACATGGCCATAACAGCATATCAAACCATTCGACTAGAATTCATTCTCATTAGAACGAACAAAATGAATATCGACTCAATGAGATTAGTACCCAAAAAAAAAAGCTCTCGTATATCTAGCAATGATTGTACTATGCTAATTATAATCGATAGTCCAAGTGGAAAGAAAAACATTCATAATCTAAATAGTTTTTTTTTCGCTTGTTAAAATTACATTTTGATCATATCATTAGACAAGAATATTTTCTTCCCTTTCGCGTTTCTTTTTCGCTCATACAAATAGACGTACATGTATCCTGCTGTGTGATTTCTATTTACTTGACAATTTGATACGGAATATTCATAGCACGAGCGATATTATCTTTCGTGATGAGAAAAAAAACCGAAAATATGCGCGATACTCACCTTTTAATTTCCTTTTCCTAAGTGAATGAAGAGTGTTTTCAAGGCAACAGCTGTACATTACCATCAACGCTTTCTCTCTCTCGCTCTATCTTTCTTTATCTATCCTTTAGTAGCAACATGAATAGCTGATTTCTTCTTTCTCTTTATGTATACATTAATACATTGAAGTAACTAAACAAACCTGTTTTCTGTATGTCGGATGCGTCGTTGATTGAAAGTATCCATTATGGATGACGGCGACCTCGAAATGTTCGTGTCTTCTTCTGATAATCGTAGCGATGATGGCTCCGAGCAAGGAATACTACTAGTTGAAGGCTATCAAACATGACTCATCGAACGCAAAATACCAATTTCTAATGTTATTCTCTCCAGCCGGCTTATTTCCCATTTGCAAAGCAAGTTAAACGAGCGAGAAAGAGAAGAACGCAAAGTATAAGGCCAGATAGATATCTAAAAACAAAAGAAGAATAACATGTATATACAATACACGTTCCGTAGCTGATAAGAAATGCCGTGTACTTGAAATACAAAAATTGAATGTCATTTTCTCAAATGCGTGTATATATATGCTACAACAACAGGTCATTGAGTGCGAAGTGTAAAATCGTATTTGAGGCATGAAAAACAAATAGAAACGTTATCTTTCCAGAAAGATGAAATTGAAGATACCAATTATATACACACCGAAGTGTTTTTATTGATATTTCTAACAGCAAAAACAAATCATCGTTCGTCAAACGACGAGTTATAGTAAAACATTAAACTACAGAAAATACACACATCGCGAGAATAATACAGTAGATGCTCAAATCATCAGCTTATGGATGTTGCGCTAAATGTTCGAAGCCTTGTCCAGTTCGAATGGGTTGACCACCGGAACCACCTGTAGAAACGAATTTCTCAACACCAGTTTCTTCATGACCACCTGACGATGGAGCATTTTGTGTATCAACTCGTTTCGAACCTGTATCATCATCAGGTGAAGCGTGTTTAGCTTCACTTGAAGCTGTGCTTGGATTTGTTTTATCCGACATTATTCGTTGCGCTTTTCAAATTCTGAAATGAAATGGCGAGATAAGATGATGAAGATAAAGCTAACTAGTTTTACGTCTCAAAATTTTATCCAATACAATTATTGGAACTTGGCAGCCTCCGTATTATATTCCATCACAAAGGCAACAAGAACCAATCACAAAGCAATAAACAGCTGTGAGCATCTTTTCTCTAGATACACTTTTATTTCGACCCAGAAAAGGTCTTCTATTTATTCTAAATATTAAGTTAACAACTTTATACATTGTTTTTATCTCTAGAATAAACGTTCTTCAAAACTACCAGAACAATTCCACTGGATGTTCATCTACATGTAAATCTCCTTCAGTTTCGTGTTTGCGATCGGTGCCTCCACCTCGATAGAAAAACATTCCAATTAAAATAATTGGTAAAGCACCAAGACTAAAGCCAATATCCCAACCATCCATTGGTCCTACACCAGCCCATGCATTGACGGATGGGAAAATAAACCAGAATGACGTCGCTAATAATGGAGATATCGATGATAATATCGATAACCAATTAGCAGAGACATGATCTGTTAGAAATGTACCAGTTATATATGTTGCTAAATAAGATACAATAAATAGAACGCCTGTAGCGCCAGCATAATTGCATCGACCACCGTGAAGCGCAGGATCATTGAAGAAACATTTGAATCCATTCGAAAATGCGCTCCAAAAAGAACTGATATCTTTCGATGTACCGAAATCTGGTACTAAATCGAGCCCGAAACATAATGCAATTGCACCGAACTGAAATGTTGATTCAACAGCTTGAAAATACATAACTGAAAATCGTGTGATTCTCTCTTGTTTTTCTCGCGCTCCTTGAGTGAATTTAATTTGTAGCTGTTCTTGAACAATGTTCATTAAAGCACCAGGTATACAACCTGCGATGAATATAAATGGCCAGTACCATCCATCCTTCAATTCTGTTGGCGCCGTTCCATCGTGCATGCGTTTAAATGTAGGTATCAAACTAAATGTTACACCGACAAGAACAAGGCAAACGCTAAAGATATGACGCCAATGATATTTTTTTGGTAGGAGAAATTTTGAAAATATAAATGTGAATGGAATGATTGATTGAACAAGAATCGATGATAGGGCTGGTGGAACACGACTACCATGAGAACTGAATACAATCAAGAATCCATTGGCTGCATCGAAAACACCAACTAAAAGCATGTATTTAATCCATCGGGACGATAACATCGAACGAGTGATCTGTCCTTTGTAGTAAAACCAAACTGCCATGATGGAAAAAATAATAGTGAATGACATTGAACAGAAGAAGAGAACAAAATAAACACCGGTAAGTCCATTGAAACTTCCAAGAAATAGAACTAAACCGATAGATTGACCACTGGCAAACAAAACATTGAGAATGGACATTAGAATGGCTACGATAGCGAAACTTATGTGCCATTTACTGCGAATTGTGAAACCAGGGTGCGCGGCTTTCTTAGTAGACTGAAGAATCGAAGTATTGTCGTCGTTAAGCATTTTCGATGAAGAATCTTTCCCTAGAACTGCTCTTTTTATTCATGAAATTTTTTTGCTAAGTCATAGCGAGAGAAAGATACGGCTAGATCTTTTAATTTCAATTTTTCAAGATATGACTAAAAATTTTGTTTTGTCATCATGATATTATCAAAATTGCATCTATCGTTCTCTAGATTGTCTTACCTGTTGTTATCCGTATGCTCTAGATTCAACAGGTGCATTGTTGACAGATCATAGTGTATCACAACATCACATATAGAAGTAAAATAAGACGTCAGCAAAAATAAAATTCCTAGTTTTATTCTTTAGTCTTGATTAGATATTTCAAGAGTGATAAGTTGCTTAAACATCACCAGAGTAATAGTAAAAGTAAAAAACAATAACAATAAACAAGCAAAAGAAAAAGAGAAAAACAATGTGTATATCGATAACTGTACAGCTGGATTAATATAAATCGATCATCGTTTAACCCTTAATGACTGCCACCGGTCTCAATTTAACACATAATTTACTAATACCAGCTGCGTGACATGTTTCAACGACATCGGTTACATTCTTATATGAATCAGGCGCCTAGAAAAACATTCATCCAGTTTTGTGACATAGACAAGCAAAATTTACCTCTTCTTGTACGAGTTTTGGCGATGCAACACGAATGGCGATACCTTTTTCTTTTAATTCGTCTAAAACTTCGTACCAATTAAGATTTCGTCGAGATTTGGCACGAGATAGTGCTCGACCCTAAACGCAAAAATATCAGTCCTATTCGAGAATAAACGTTGATCTCATTAGTCACTTACAGCACCATGACAAGTCGAACCAAAAGTTTCTTGCATACCCTGTTCAGTACCAGTAAGAACATAACTACACGTGCCCATGGTACCTTTTAATATCGAAGAGAACATGGAGAAATCGGAGTACTTGTGTCACTTACCTCCAATCAGAACAGGCTGCCCGGTTATTTGATAGTCGACTGGAATAAGTGGATGATGAGGAGGGAAAGCTCGTGTTGCACCCTTTCGATGTACTAACAGAGTTTTTTGTCTACCATCGATGATATGTTCTTCAACTTTAGCTATATTATGTGAAACATCATAGATTAAATGCATATCGAGATCATCAGGTGTCGAATTAAAACATCGAGCGAAAGCCTAGGAAAGAGATAGATTTGCCTTTTTCGTCATCAACAGAATTCTTCAACGCTTACTTGTCGAGCGAGAAAAGTCATGGAAGAACGATTGACCCACGCATAGTTTGCAGCTGCACACATTCCTTTAAGATAATCTTGTCCTTCAGGAGATTGAATCAGAGCACAAGCAAGTTGTCGATCATTGGTTTGAATTTGATCACGCTTCATGGCTTTTTCCATAGCCACAAGAGAATCTACCAAATACTTCGATGAATTTGCATTGGTGAAGCATATATTTATCCCTACCGGTGGCTACTTGATGGCCAAGACCACGACTTCCGCAATGAATCATTACACATACTTGCCCTTTAAAATCAATACCCATTTTACCAGCAGCAAACCGATCGTAGATTTCGTCAACAACTTGAATCTCTGCATAATGATTACCAGCTCCCAGTGTTCCTAACTGAATCAATGTACACAAATATAAAATCCTATAGTCCAATTTTTCAATGATCTTTACCTGTGGTAAACCACGTTTCTTAGCTCGTTGTGAAACTTTCGTCGGATCAGCTTGTAACATTCTTCCATATTCTTCACAGTGCTCTTTATCTTCTGCCCACGAGTAACCTTCACGTAATGACCAATCCATACCCATCTCTAGTGCTTCTTCAAGATCTCTGAAGTTCATCAATTATTTATTAAATATTCACAAGAATTTGTTGAAAACTTTACTTTGCATTCATTGGTATCACGCCTTTTGAACCAACACCGACAGGTATATGATCAAACATAGATTGTGCTAGTTGTTCTTTCATCGGCTGAACGTCCTTCTCAGTAAGATTCGTTCGAAGAAGACGAACACCGCAATTGATATCAAAACCAACACCACCGGGCGACACAATTGCTTTCGGATCATTGTAATCGAATGCAGCCATATTACCAATGGCAAAACCATAACCAGAATGTACATCAGGTAAACCAACAGACTTCTGCAAATCGAATGGGAATAAATGCAGATGGATTGAAATAGAGAAAACTTACGCCAACGATACCAGGTAATGCTGCAACATTAGCAATTTGTTTCATACCGGGAAGAAAACCACCTATACCACCGAATTTCGATGCAGTTTCAAGTTCTTCGAACATCAATTTCTCCAAATGATTGTTAACATAAAAAACACCTTCAACCTATATGCAATTACATGGAATTTCAATGAAATCGTCTTTATACATCTTGATAGACATACATTCATATTCGGTACAAAACCTTTTTTTATACGCCAGCAGTGGCTATTAATTCGTTCGATATATTTTAACTCTTCTTCATAGGTGCGCGGCATTGTTGATCGGAGTTGGAAATAGTCTGTATGGATAAAACGAAAGCAGTCTTTCGAAATGTATGCATTCAACTTCAACACTCATCCATAGTTTTCCTATAGGTTGTAACAACCAATTCTAAAAGGAGATGCTTTCGAAAGAGTGCGCTAGTTTGTAGCTGTGATCTTTTCAGCGGAATTGGTTATTTATTATCAACGATTGAACGGAAAAATACATGGTATAAAGACTAAAATATTTTATGTGAATAGGAGAGTGGAATTTCATTTCGAAATGGCTGTTGTTGAATAATTAAATCATCTTGTTGTCGATTATGTTTCATGAATAAATTCTTTCTATTACAATTATTTAACATACAATAAAATGCAGATATCAATTCGGTTTTGTCTATCGAAAGAACGGTTTTCTCCATTAAATTCACGCATAGAGTTGAAAATGTTATGGGTATTGTGGACGATTTGGTATATTCTGTTTGATATTCATCTGCCAGTTGGTATTGAAGCTTCTTTGTGTCGATTTTTGTCAAATTTCGATCACATTCGATTCGATCATAATGAACTGGACGAACGAAATCATATTCAAGAGGAGGATGATCATCATAATTCGGTGGATCATGTTCATCACCGCCGTAGAATGGATCGTCATCGAAGTTGTCATACGATCTCTGAAGATTATTATCAAAGATGAATTCGGAAAAATTATTCGAATGCATGAGATCAGTCAACGGACATGCTCGACGTGTCAATCGTAATTGATGTGTATGTTTAGGAATAGATAGATGCATTGTGTTTTGTTTTCGTTTCCTGATTATTGCTTTACTCAATGGATTGAGGTTCATAATGTCAGTTACCGATCGTTTGTCTTCACCAGTGGAAAAGTTTAATCTAAAAGTTCGTATTAGCTTACACGATGAGGATGGCTGCGAGTTGGCAAGTCGATTTTGTATGATTGAAGTATTTTCACAAGTAGCAAGAGACGGCTTGATAATATTTGGAAGGAGATTGAC